GCCTCAGAATCTTCAAGGTGCATTTTGGCAAAGCTCAGTCGTGACTGCATGTGGCCTTTCTTGGGGAGTGGCTTTTTTCTCGCAACCCTCCCAGACAAGCCACATTTGTGGAGTATTTTTAATATTGTTGTCACATGCACATAATGACTACTCTTTGTCATAAATTCCTGCAACTGCTTCAGAGTTGCTGTAGGCCTCTTGGTCGTATCTCTGACAAGTTTCCTCCTGGCTCATTCATCCAGTTTGGAGCGACGTCCTGAATTGAGTTTACAAGTCATTTCAACCCTCTACGTACAACGTGGCAATATAATTGCCATTGGCTAGTAAATGTTTTAGTTTACTCGCCAGACTACTATTTTACACACACAACCAGCATATCTTCTGCTTGTTCTTAAAAGCTGAATAATTCTAAATGAACTTTTGACAGGAAAACACAACAAAGAATATCGTTTACATGTCGTCGATTCAGCGTGGTACGTAAGACTCTCGCTCTCTCTCTTTGCATGTGTGAGAAAAAGCGCTATCAGCAAAGCGACGTCGAGTCATGCGCCTTCACGTTAGTTTACGGTGCGTCAAATACAGGTAAGCTGCGCATCCATTGAGCTGAATTGAAATAGTACAGATCGCTTGACAGAGAGTGACGCTCCCAAGCGCTCAGTCAAAGTGATCTATGCTAAGCTTGTAATTAGCCTCTAACACACACACTGGTGAGTAAAATCTAAGAATTTATTAGCCAATGGCTAACGATAGACATTTATTCGCCCAGAGTGAAGATTTAATCGCAATGTAGAGGGTTGCATTTTTAGAATGGGGGTGATCCTTTTTCCAGTGATTCTGTTTTTTATTTATTTTTTTTCTGACATGTTGGTGTTATATCTTTCACTTGGATGTTATAAATTGCACTGAGTAAATACAGCTGGATAAAACAAAAACTGTCTTCATTTCAGGGTGCAAAGACACAAAATGTGATTTTAAAGGGGAATTATTCTTTTCTATACCTACTGTATGTCTCTATAGATTTAAATTTATATTTCAGCTTTAGTTTTAGCAATTTTAGCAAAGTTAAACTAAATCAAAATGAGAAATGTTGCCTTGGCAACTGGCTGGCACTTTTTTCATTCAAAAACGCTTTTTCTTCAATGGTTTTAGTTTTTGTTAATGACCCTGAAATTGACCCTATTAACTTACGTAATATACATCTCTGGTCTAATTGTGCATGTGATTCCAAAGGGAAAAATGTCTCCGTTTACACAATGTAATAACTTTCCTTTTCTGATGACATCATTAAGGCCATGCAAACGCGCATTCGGTTTTGTATGTATGTATGTAACACGCATTACATGATTTAGCAAATTCCTGATGAATAAACTAAAGTCCCTCTCTACTTTTTCGCTCTTCAAACATCCTGTTTCATTCAGAAAATATCAGATTGAGGAAGTAAAATGGGTTGCAAACAGCAATTCATGATGGCTTTAAATAGACCAAGTATTTTACCTGGTAGTCAGTTACACCATCCCACAGCTGTGCTGACAGTTTCCTCCCACCAAACCAGCGTCCATTCAGAGCTATCTGACACGTGTCCGCCTCTTCAGGTTCCTTAAAAGCCACGGATGCCACTCCATCAGGGTGCCTCTGATTTCCATGGAAAAGGCAAA